TTTTTAAAAAAAAAAAAAAAAAAAAGCAATGAAAACAATTCTTGAATCTAGTTGAAGGAAATGCAGATGTTCATTGTATAATTCTTTCTACTTTTCTATAGGACTAAAATCTTAAATGAAAAGTTGACAGACAAATATAAATTTTATGTTATAGTTAAAAGCCAATCCACAAGATAAAAACACAAAGCTTTGCAAATTATCAGAGGACACCAACAAAAGTGAAACCATAATGGATCATACAGTACACTATTTTAAAAGGCAAAAAAAGGTCACATAAATTCTAGCAGATCTTTTGATAACAGCACTTAAACCAAACATAGATCATATCAATTTTTGAAAACGAGCTCACCTATTAAAGTACAACCTCCAGAATAAATAACAAAGAAAATCCAAGTATGTGTTACATATAAAAATCTAAGAAAAGATTTTCTGATATCGGAATTAAAATTAAGTTAAATTTTAACTAAAAAATTTTTTTCTTCTTTTTCTTTTTTTTCTTTGAGGTGAGGTCTGTCACTCAGGCTGGAGTACAATGGCATGATCTTGGCTCACTGCAGCTTCCATCTCCCAAAAAAAAGCAAACCTCTTGTCTCCCCCTCCCAAGTATCTGGGATTAAAGGCTTGCATCACCATGCTGGGCTAATTTTTTGTATTTTTTTTTTTTTCTAGAAATGGGGTCTCCTTATGTTGCCCAACCTGGCTTCAAACTCCTGGGCTCAAGTGATCCTCCGGCCTTGCTCTCCCAAAGTGTTGAGATTATAGGCATGGGCCACTGCACCTGGCTAAAATGTTTTAAAAAGATGTAACTAACATAAAATGATTCAGAAGGATTGAAAATAAAAAAGTAGACAAAGGAATACCAAGTATAAGTAATACTATAAATAATACCAAACAAATACAATAAGAAAGCTGCATTCGTGATTATAATACCAGACAAGAAGTGTACTTCGAGATGATAAAAACTATAATTCATAACGCAGATCTAGTACTAATAAATCCTATTCAAACATCCTAACATTCAGAAGCAAAAACACAGAAAATCTGAGACGAAACTGAAATACATTAGTGGGAAACTTTCTCAGTTCTACACAGAGTAAATGAACGGCCACACACACCCCCCAAAAAAGGAAAAGATTTAATTAAAAATATCTAGTCAATATGTGGGAATCTTACTATAAAACAGAAATTACATCTTCTTTTAAAACTCCCACAGAAAATTTAAAATTGTAATCTTATATTAGGCAGCTAAGAAAATCTCAATAAATCCACAAAAAACTAGAGGTCAGTAATAAAATTAAAAAATAATAATCCCTACCTGCTGGGGGAAATTTTAAATCTCTCTCAAATGATTTTGGGGTCAAAGAGTAAATCACGGTGGCTCAAGCCTGTAATCCCAGCACTTTGGGAGGCCGAGGCGGGTGGATCACGAGGTCAAGAGATCGAGACCATCCTGGTCAACATGGTGAAACCCCGTCTCTATTAAAAATACAAAAAATTAGCTGGGCATGGTGGTGCATGCCTGTAATCCCAGCTACTCAGGAGGCTGAGGCAGGAGAATTGCCTGAACCCAGGAGGCGGAGGTTGCGGTGAGCCGAGATCGCACCATTGCACACTCCAGCCTGGGTAACATGAGTGAAACTCCGTCTCAAAAAAAAAAAAAGAGTAAATCAAACCTAAAATTTCAAAGTATTCAGAAAACAATGAAAATGTGACATATCAGAACTTATGTCAGAATTTATATCAGCTAAAGTCGCTCTCAGAAGAAATTTCAAAGGCTGTTATTTATATGAATGATCAAGAAAGAATAAAAAGAAATACATTAAGCATCTATATCTAATAACTCAAGAAATTAAAAGAACTAGTAAATTAAGAGTTGGTTTTGGGGGAGAAAGTAGAATAACCTATAATGAATCAAGAAATAAGGGAGAACAGACACAAAATAAGAAATGAAAATGGAACTCTAATGACAGATGCGGAACAAATCAAAAAACAAAAATGCTTTGCTCAATTTTAATAAATTTGAAGGCCAGGAGAAAGTAGACAATTTTCCAGGAACATGTAAATTATCAAAAATGACTCCAGAAGAATTTGTAACCTGACGGAGAAATTACCTTTAAGAAAAATAAACTCAGCTGGGCTCAGTGGCTCATAACTGTAGCACTTTGAGAGGCTGAGGAAGTCAGATCACCTGAGGTCAGGACTTTGAAATCAGCCTGGCCAACAAGGTGAAATCTCATCTCCACTAAAAATACAAAAATTAGCCATACATGGTGGTGGTGCCTGCTACTCGGAAAGCTGAGGCATGAGAACCACTTGAACCCGGGAGGTGGAGGTGGAGGTTGCAGTGAGTTGAAATAGTGCCACTGTACTCCAGCATGACAGAGGGAGACTGTCTCAAAAAAAAAAAGGAAAGAAAAAGAAACTCCAACCCATTTAAACTGGTCCAGAGGCAAATTCTGGGAAGACGGCTATATAGTTGTTGTTGCTGTTTTTGAGATAGGGTTTCACTCTGTTGCCCAGGCTGGAGTGCAGTGGTACCATCACCATTCACTGCAGCTTCAACCTTTCAGGCTCAGGTTGGTTTTGAACTCCTGGCCTCAATCAATCCTCCCACCTCAGCCTCCCAAAGTGCTGGGACTACAGACATGAGCTACTATGCTCAGTCACCACGTAGACTTTTTTTCTTTTTTTAGATGGAGTCTCACTCTGTTGCCAGGCTGGAGTACAGTGGCATGATCTCAGCTCACTGCAAGCTCTGCCTCCTGGGTTCAAGGGATTCTCCTGTCTCAGCCTCCCGAGTAGCTGAGACTATAGGCGCACACCACCACACCCAGCTAATTTTTGTATTTTTAGTAGAGACAGGGTTTCACCATGTTGGCCAGGAAGGTCTCGATCTCTTGACCTCATGATCTGCCTGCCTTGGCCTCCCAAAAGCACTGGGTTTACAGGCATGAGCCACCACACCACCACACAGATTTTTAATCTTCATTTCTCCATATAAAAACAGAGCAACTAAATGGCAAAACCATAAACTCATGGAAAACATTTACAAGTGATAATACATCCCTAGGAACCCCAACATTCAAGAAGGTGGGAGCAAACTACCAAAAGCTTTTTTTTTTTTTTTTTTTGAGATGGAGTCTTGCTCTGTTGCCCAGGCTAGAGTACAGTGGGGTGATCTTGTCTCCTGCAACCTCTGTTCCTGGATTCAAGCAATTCTCCTGCCTTAGTCTCCTAAGCAGCTGGGATTACAGGTGCCTGCCACCGCACCCAGCTAATTTTTGTATTACTAAGACAGGGTTTCACTATCTTGGTCAGGCTGGTCTCAAACTCCTGACTTCGTGATCCACCTGCCTTGGCCTCCCCAAAGTGCTGGGATTACAGGCGTAAGCCACCGTGCCCCACCAAACTACCAAAAGCTTAAGACATGTATGGCATCAGCATTATCAATATTTATGTGGATGGGCCAAAAGAAAGTAATGGAAATGAGAACCAAAAAAAAAAAAATTCTAAGTAGTCAACAGATTACTCACTGGAAAGCACAGTGGGGTCAACTTCAGAACTGCAGCTAAAGCTGTGAGGGATTTTCTCCAAACCAATACTGAATACAAGGTGAGTGCAAGGAACCCACAGTCGGATGTGAAGGAGCCCACAGTTGAGCCTCTGTGAACTCTGAAAATGGACCAGCCAGGACTCGCTTGCAGGACAAGAGTCAGCCGTGATAAAATAAAAAAAAAAAAACTGGCCAAGGGCATTGGCTCAAGCCTGTAATCCCAGCACTTTGGGAGGTCAAGGTGGGCAGATCACTTGATGTCAGGAGTTTGATACTAACCTGACCAACATGGTGAAACCCCATCTCCACTAAAAACACAAAAATTAGCCGGGCATGTGCCTGTAATCCCAGCTACTCGGGAGGCTGAGGCAGGAGAATCACCTGAACCTGGGAGGCAGAGGCTGCAATGAACCAAGATCGCACCACTGCACTCCAGCCTGGGTGACAGAGTGAGACTCTGTCTCAAAACAAAACAAAAAACCCTCAGGTTGAAATTAAAATCAAGCAAGAAAGGAACTAAAGATACAAAACAGAGACGGTCCAAATAAAATGAGAGAGGGGAGCAGAATAAGAAATCTCAGACAGCCAGGTACATTTTTTTGTTTGTTTTTTCTTCAGAGTTGGGTTGCCCTGTTGCCCAGGTTGGTCTAGAACTCTTGACCTCAAACGATCCTCCTGCCTCAGCCTCCCAAGTAACTGAGATTATAGGTGCAAGCCACCAAACCTGGCGTGCCATGTTTTTTTAAATGTTAACTGAAAAGGAGAAACTGTGAAAAAAGAAAAGCTATTCTGAGCCAAACCTTCTTTTAAAAGTTCTGAGAAACTAATTTCACACATATATGAGCAACAGGAAAGTATCAAGGTCAGAATCCCATAAAAAGAAAATGTCACGAGATGTGAAAGAACATAAAACAGAAACAGAATAACTAAGAAATAAGGTGACAGAATTCAGAAAAGAAATAGAAATACAGAGGAAATTAATTCCTGAAATTAAAAGGAACCTAAGATCAGCCAAGTAATCACAGAAAATAATGTTTTAAGAGAAACATAAGGTAAAATGGAGAAATAATGTTAAAATAAAAAAGAAATGAAGAGATAAAAATGATTCAAGAAAAAGTCACACAAGGCAGACAGATCATTTGAGGTCAGGGGTTTGAGACCAGCCTGGCCAACATGGTTCTGAAACGCCATCTCTACTAAAAATACAAAAATTAGTTGGGCATGATGGCGGGTACCTGTAATCCCAGCTACTCATGAGGCTGAGGCAGAAGAATTGCTTGAACCAGGAGGTGGAGGCTGCAGTGAGCCAAGACTGCGCTACCGCACTACTGCCTGGGTGACAGAGCAAGACACTGTCTCAGAAAGAAAGATAGAAACAAAGGGGAGGGGAAGGGGAGGGGAGGGGAGGAAAGGGGAGGGGAGGGGGGAAAAGTGACAAATAATAAAGATGGGCAAAGAAGAGCCAATCTATATATAATAGGAGTCCCTACAGAAGAAAAGCAAAGCAAGGGAACAGATCAAACATTAAAAACATTTGAAACTACCTACTGAAAGAATACAATATAAACATGAAAATGTCAAGCAAAAATGAGCAACTTTTAAGATACAATCTAGTAAAATCACTGGTATGTAAAGAAAAAATCCTTTTGGCACCTAAACAAAAACAGCAAAGTACTTACAAAGAAAAAATAATTAGAGAATATTAGTTTTTTTTTTTTTTGGAGACAGAGTTTCTCTCTGTCTCTCAGGCTGGAGTGCAGTGGCGCAATCTCAGCTCACTATAACCTCCACCACTCCTACATTCAAATGATTCTCCTGCCTGACCCTCCTGAGTACCTGGGATTACAGGTGCCCACCACCACACCCAATTAATTTTTGTATTTGTATTAGAGATGGGGTTTTACCATGTTGGCTAAGCTGGTCTTGAACTCCTGACCTCAAGTGATCAACCCGCCTCAGCCTCCCAAAGGGTTGGGATTACAGGCGTGAGCCACCATGCCCAGCCAATATTAGTTTTTCAACAGCAACACTTTATGCCAAAAGAAAATGGAGAATCATATTCAAGATACTTAAGGAAAGAAAATGAGTCAAGGATTTCATACCTGGTAAAACTGACTTTCAAGTATAAAGGGGGTACACAAGCTTATCAAACACATAAGATGTTTACATTAAAAAATAAGGTAAAAATAATTTTATCTTGTAATGTTAAATTTCCCCCTGTAGGGGAAAGAATAAAATGGAAGAATAAACATGCTTTTAAAAGTAAAAGGAGGCCGGGCGTGGTGGCTCAAGCCTGTAATCCCAGCACTTTGGGAGGCCAAGGCGGGTGGATCACGAGGTCAAGAGATCGAGACCATCCTGGTCAACATGGTGAAACCCCGTCTCTACTAA